ATGACCAAATTTACAATTAATGACATATTGTCATGAATTTTACATTCTGTCTGAGGGAGACAAAAAATAATCGGTGTAAAAAGTAAGTTACATAGCATACTCAAAAGGCGATAGCATTAAGGAGAAAACAAATGCAACGTAAAGGAGGGTCTAGGGAAATGCTATAGTTTTAAGAGTGGATAGGGTAGACCTCAAATCAAAAACAGCATTTGATCAATTGATCAAGAACTTGAGCTAGGTAGGGAGATCAGTTGCAAGAAGAAGGAATGGCCAGTGTGAACACAGAAAGGCAGGAAGAAACAGTACCGAAGAAGAGATCGGAGTGAAATGAATAAATGGGAGAACAGCAGAAGAGAGGTCAAAGGGGTATGGAGAGGCTTTCGGCCATTATTACGAATTAGTTTTCTACTCTGACTAAAAGGACAAATGACTAAAGAGTTTAAAAGAAGGAAATGACCACATAGACAATTTATTTTGAAGATTCTTCTGACCACAATGCTGACAGTTGAGTGTAAATGGGGCAGGATCGAAAGCTATGAGTTAGGAAGTTAATTATTCCTAATAATTGAGGAGGAAGGTATTGGTGGCTTGGATCAAAAATAGAAATGATGAGAAGTTACAGGACAATGTGTGTTTTAATACGAAAACTAATCTGTTTGGAGGTGAGATTTGCAAGAGCAGTATACGGGGTGACTCCAAAGTCATGGGCCTGAGCACTTCACTGGAGTGAAAGCATTGCCAATCAGCGCTGAAGCAGATTGCAGATGAAGTAAGTTTGGCATGTATTGGTGGGGAAACGTGTGGTACTCTTCTGGATATGTCAAGTATAAGATGTTACTATTAAGTAGTAGGTATCTTTGGAATTTCAGGAGAAATTCAGACTTAAATAATAAATTATCTGGTCACAAGTTTTAAAATGACAATTCAAATCGTCATAGCAATGAGAGAAAAAAACAACTTGAGGGAAAATAATATTCTATAATAGGAGTTTGGAATTGAGCCTCTAGGTGACAGGGTTCAGTGAAGTATTTGACAATGAGAAATATGACTTCTTTTTTCTTTGAAGATTACTAATCTATTTTTTGGTTTTTGCTTTTATTTTTTTTTTCCTTTTCTTGTAAGCAAAATGCAAAATTGTATTGCAGGAAAGAAGTTTGAAGACTGTCACACTGACAGTGGCTCAAGTGAAAAATACAAAGGGCTCAACAGCAAGGAGAGCATCTTCACGTTAATACCGCAGTAGTTGGCAGCTCTATTTGTAGATCTTGTATGCTATGGGGATATTAATACATTGGAGAACTTATTGTAAAGATTAAGGGCAATCTACTTTAAGTGTATGGCAAAAAACTGACACAGTGGTGCTTAACGATTGTAACTGAAAAATTTCTTTTAAAACAAGAATGGCAGTAGATTAAAGCATATTTATTTTGGGAGATTCTGTAGTAAATGAAAACTGATGTGATAGGTACGGAAGAAAAAGAAGGCCTCAAGTCTACCTTGAACAGCCATAATTGATAATGAGGCCATTGGAGAATGACTATAGGAAATATTTAGAAAATGTGTTAGGGAGATGTAATGAAATAAATTATTTAGCATAATTAGTGACTATAATGTGCCAGGGACTGATCACTGAGAAAACAATGGAAGGAAAGACATACTCTGTCCTTGAATTAAAGGAGCCTACAACATTTTTTATTAATTTCTTACTTTCCATGTTGTATGCCACTTAGTTAATCTTGGGGCATATATGTAACATTTGTTATACCATAACTGACTAGGGACAGAGTCCATAATTCAGTTATTGCTTTTGTATCCTTGTACAAAATAATTATATGTTCTGTATAATTCAGTTCTTGCAAATTTATCAACTTTATCTCATTTTACTGTTCACCAAAATCTCTGAGGCAAATATCAAACATGATTAATAATCGAGTTCTGAATGAATGTAAGAATCACACCATCCTTCCATTCCTTCATTTGTCTATTTGAGCACAAAAGACCCATAATGAGTAAGGGATTTTGAAAAGTGACTCTATTTTCTTGTTAATAGCTATGTTAAGCTGAAATTTTTAATAAAGACATGTGAATATAAGTGTATATGTATTTGTAAGTGAAAAAATAAAAGGAATAATTTCCTTGAATGTTGGAGTCTAAGAGTTATGTTTTATAAGTACATACACATATATATAATATAGACATAAATTATATATGGACATTTAGATAGCTATATTGATAAATGAATACAGATATGTAGATCTCTTTAATCTTAAAAAACCTGAATTTTAGGTTTCTATAATTTTAGAAGATCCTAGACGTCTAATTATTCACACTTAATGTCTACCGATAAATATCTGTAATTCTTGAGGTTGCGTAAGGGTATCTACTTGATATACAGTGAAATCTCAGCCTGAGTATATATGTATCATTGCATAAATTTTCTTTCATATTTTGTTGATAGTAGAAACAATGATAATTGATCAACTTAATCACCATTTTGAATGATCAAAAGATTTATAAATCATCTTTTTTTAGCTTATTTAAATTATGAAAAATGAAGAGCAAAGTGGTTTATTTATTTGCTGTTTAGAAAAGTAAACAATAGGGCATAGCATGGTGGCTCATGCCTGTAATCCAAGCATCTTGGGAGGCCGAGGTAGGTTGATCACTTGAATCCAGGAGTTTGAGTCAAACCTCGGCAACATGGCAAAATCTCATCTCTATGGAATATAAAATAAAATAAAATAAAATAAATAAAATAAAATAAAATAAAATACAAAATTAGCCAGATGTGATGGTGTACACTTGTACTGTCAGCTATTGAGAGGCTGAGGTGGGAGGGCTGTGTAAGCTTGGGAGGTAGAGGCCGCAGTGAGGAGTGATCAAACCATTGCACTCCAGCCTGGGCAAAAGAAAGAGTGAGACCCTGTCTCACAAAAAAAAAAAAAAAAAAAAAAAAAAAAAGAAAAATTAATAATAGTACAAGTTAGATGTTATGTTAACTGTTTTGCAATATTTTCATTTTAATTAATAGAAAAATCATGCAGTAATATAAAATAATGATCTATGATTTATTACATGTCTAGTGTTTAAAACATCCCTTGATTTTATAATAGCTGCTCAAAAAATATGTGATGAATGAAGGTGTAAGAAGATGAATAAAAGAAAAGCCCACACTTGTTCAATGAAATCAATGATACTGAGAGAGGGTTGTCCCAGTTCCCATGTAAAGGAGATTTGGGGCATAGAATAATCTACATATTGTCCATTCCTTTCTCTCCTTTGGGAGAGCACAATGGCAGGGAAATTATTGAGAGAGTTTTAGCAGGTAGTTATAGGCATACATTTTACATTTCAGGATCACCAATTAATTTTTAACATATCCCCTTCAGTATCAACAAATAAGATGGCTGTTACTGAATAATTTCTCTGCGATATAGGCCTTATATCAACAAAGAAGCCTATTACTCAATCTCCCTAAAGAGAATTATTATAAACCTGGATTGGATGATGTTAAAGATTAATCCTTTAATTTAATAAAAACCAGAATGATACAATAAATGATAGCAAGTTCATGTTACTTTAAAATTACATAAATGAGGAAAACTAAAATTATCCAAATAAGAATTCCAAATATTAACATCCAGTATTAATAAAAATAACTAATGTTATAAATTTTAAAGGTAATTTTAATCAAATGTATATTTTGAATCATATCTAACGTAAAATTCTTACAATTTGTACCTTTTTAAATTTTTCCATTGTTAACTGATTTTGTTTTTAATGAGTAGTCCTTTTAGGATATTGAGGATTTTCTCTCCTTTTAGTTCAACATATATGATCAAACTTTTTTTGTTCCTTAAACTTTGTCCTTTTGACACCTAGCCTTCAGTAAAAATGAATGGGTTCTTGGAAAAGAGGAAGTCTGCCAAATCGTGTTATCATTTAGCCTTGTCACACGACTGTATTTTTAACTAGAATATATGTTGTTTTTCTTTTATAATCAGGCTAACATGCAAACAAAAGTATCTGTGTTCAGAGTGATGTGAGCCCTTTCAGTCTGGAAGTTGGGAAAATATTACCATTTAATAAGATTGAAATATTCTACATTAAGGACACGTCAGTATTACACCTTGATTCAATCCAAAAGCACAGCATTTTCACTAAGTAGAGAGCACACAGATCTTTGGTGTTATTTACAATATACTAAGCAGCAGAGAATGTGGTTTCCTAGTCTATGTCCAACAAAGTGCTCCTTTTATAAATAAATCATGTTGTGGAGGTTGAGAAATAAGGAATCAGTTAGTGTCATCTAACTTTCATGATCCTTAGGAACTCTGGATAATTAGCTGCCAGTGTTTTAATTTTCTTTATTTTTATTTTCTTGCTTTCTATGGAATCATTAACAGAAAAGCAGGCTTTGTTACAAACAGATGCATCATGGCTTTTAAAATCTTGATACAATTGTAAAGCTATGTCTTAATGGAATATTCTGCATTATTACTGTCATTAGTAGGCATTTTTAAAGTCACCATAGGAGGTAAGTATATTTTCCATTAAAGGATTATTTTAGTCTGAAATCTGTCTGAACTATTATTCTCTATAAACTTTAATGGCATGAATGTCATAAAAAATGAGAAAATGTTTTATTTTTTCAGGTATGATTTTAGTGAATATAAACAAAATGAAATTACTGCATTGCTGGTGTCTTGGGATATTTAGCATAAGGATGGTCATGTTTTAAGTTGTTTAAATGGCAAATTTTTATGTGTTTTATAAATGACTATTACTTTGTATATGAAGAGTTTTCCACATACCACAGCGTATCAAAACTCATTGGAAAAGTAATTCTTACCTAAATCATATTAATTTGGTTAGCACTTTCAATACTAATGATAATGACATTGTGTTCTTACCTGTATGTAAGGTAATTGTGTATCAAGATATTTAGTTCAGGGAGAAAGTCTTCCATCCTAGGGAGAAAAAAGAAGCTACAGACAAAGTAGTTGTAAAAACTGGTTTATTTTTTTAAAAATAAATACAAAAATATAAATATAAAACATTAGCAGATAGAATTTGATGAAATGAAATTGCACAAATGTCTGTATACCAGGTTGCATATCACACCTACTAACACCACATGTACATTTTTTTTAATTTAATGTACAGAACAGGATATACCTTAAAATTTTTCTTCACCTTTTTAAAAGCTTCATTTGCAAGGGCAGGACATGTATCTAACAGAAGCGGCTTGTTTGTGAGGTTGCTTAAGGGAGAACTATCCTGTTCATGTTTCTGAAATTATCTTTTATTTACTAAGATGGACAACACTGTATTTCCATAGCTTTGGCTCTTGGAAGTGATTAAATAAAATGTTGTATATATTCCATGAGACATCCTACAGGAAAGAATTAATGTAATTAATGAACAAATTAAGAAGTAAATGGGAAAAAAAAAATTGTGCTGACTGGCAGGAAAAACCTCCTGAATATCAAATATTGTGAAGTGGAGACAGCATGGGTATAGTTACTTTCTCTTGTTTGAACAGAACATATATCCTACGTTAAGAGTCTTTGTCACTTTCCCCGCCACCATACATTTCTGCTAGCTTATTAAACCGAGGGCCCCATTCTCGGAGGTAATCGTAGTTTTGGTCTCCTTCAGTAGTACCTGATTCTAATGAACTCAGAGATTCAGCAATGGAATCATTTCCTTCATAGGCATAGGTTGCAAGTGAGTCGTATGGGGGTGCGGTGGGGTCAAGGTCGTGCTCTTTTAGCCTTTCATTAATGAAATCCCGGACGTCCGTGTTATCTGGAGCTGTAGGAGTCCTCCGAGGAATAAATAACGTTTCTGGAATAATATCTCGCCGGAGCTTTTTTTCCTCAATGGCTGCAGGATTCCTCAGGGTGCCGATATCAAAGGCCTGGGTGTCCTCCTCTCCACCACCCTCATCGTTATAGCTCACAATGTTGTCTCTGATATCTTCTTTTGACAAGATCAGAGGCTCTTTTTTTCGCTGTCTTTTCAGAGCTGCAAACAGTACTACTATAACTTGAAAAAAGACAAGAAGATACATTAGACCTCCGTTCAAAACACTGTAACGAGTGGAAATACTATAAAGGAGTTTAAGTTACCCAGGCTTTCTATAACAGGTTAGACTTTCAGATTAATTTTATACTTCCCACAGTTTGGGGGAGGTGTCAGGGGAGATGCTGAAGGGTTTAGCAAGGGTGGGTGGTGTTTAAGATCAGTGTTTCTAATTTATTTTTAAAGCAACGTAAAATATTCCTTAAATATAGTGACTTATTTTTAAAGCAACGTAAAATATTCCTTAAATATAGTGACTTACACTTTATTTTTCTAGGAACCATTTAAAAAGGTTCCTCATTGTACAGATAATATTTATATTTTGCATTAAATAAGGAACGTAAGATGCTATATAAAATTTGTTTGTATAAATCTACACCAATTGAATTCAGCTTCAAGGAAGACAATTTAAAAGGACAACCTGATGCTTACTTTTTTCAAAGCCTTTACATAATAGCAAAAAGCAACATCCTTCACAAGATATTGAGTACTGACTTCTGTTACATAGTTTTGCTGATGAACTTACATATTTTTTGTTACTTTATTAAAAGAATGCTGTAATTATTGGAAAAAAAAGATTATTTAGAGTTAGATGGATTTAGAAATTTCTAAGGTTTCCATGAAAATATATACCTTGCATGAGACCCCCCCCAAAAACATTGTTAGGTTACAAGATGGCAAAGAGTAAATTTCTCAATTTACAAAGAGTAAAATTCTCAAATTACAACACTGGATTAGCTCCCCCCCAAAATTATGAATCTTGGCTAGATTCACAATAGAAAAGTGTACTGCTCAAAAAGGACATTTTCCCACTTCAATGAGAGACAATATTCATAATCATAACAGTGGAAATAGCATAAATGATAAGAGAAAGTTAGTATCAAATTCTTCTGATTGCAGTAGAGTTTCTCACCCTTACTCATTATTTCCAAACATTTTGATCCTCAACCTTTAAAAGGATTCAAGGGAAAAAGTGTGAACTCAGTTAGATAAGGATGGGAAGATTCTTACTGGATATATATATAAAAAATATATATAAATATATATCCATATATATCCAAAGAAATATTGATACAAGTATTTACCTTCTTTGAACACACATTTAAAGAGTATGTAATTAATTATATTATTATATGAAGGGGTATTAAGTTATGTTTTCTGTTTTAACATCGAAAGCACAGACTAGTCTGTCTTTAACCTATGTGAGAAGGCAAACAATAAACATTTTTAATACCATGAAAAAGAAAGTTTTAGCCATTGATAAGTGTTCTTGGCCAAGTAATTAAAAAGCAAATACGCAGAGCTTTTAAAAAAGTGTATTCTTCAAGCTTTTAAGAAAATATGCCATTTTATTTTGCCTAAATTCAAATATTTATGCACATAAAAATGTGTAAAGATTTTAAATCTCAGATTATTTATCATCAACCAAACGACCTTGCTCAGCAAAAGCCTTCTAATGTTGAGAATAATGACAACTGATTACGATTTGCTCCAAGTTCAAGTTCATTTCCCTTTTTCTTGAATGTCTTTTGATTAGGGTAATAGAAATATAAAAATCTGTTTAAACTAACAAAACTAGAGAGAATACTTAAACTGATTTTAATTCAAAAGCAGTTAAGCAGTCTGCTCCTGATTATAAAATGAACTATCATTGTTTGGGGGAAAAGTAAATCAGGTAAAAATCTATTTTAATACGATTTTAGTGAATATGTAAGATAGTGAGGCCTCCATCCAGCCATAATAAAAGTGGAAATACAGATTTCGCGGGATCCCTGCATACACTAATAGCAAGGTACCCTAGCTCAAACACTCAGAAATTATGTGACCTTGGAAATTATTCTGACTATTTTGAATTTTCAGTTTCATTATGCATAAAATGAAAATAACACCACACATGCCAGATATTCTTTTGTCAAGTGAAAAAGGTTGTCATGGCAAAGTGCCAGTGACAGAGTCTGAAACACAGTAAACACATACGAAAAACTTACCACCATTAATATTATTCGTACTAGAGACTTTCATTTTAATTGCATATTTTAATAGAACAAGTTTTCTATATGATTTAAAGTATAAATCCCCCAAATAAATATTTATATTACTCATATTTGCTATTGGGGATTCAACTATTGTAAGGTACATTTATTAACTTTTCCTCAATGTTTGTTGTATTAATGGTAAGTCAAATTATAAAAATAGAATTATACCAAATTCTCACTCTATGAAATAAAATGAGGCATATATTTTTTGTGGTACAGAGAAAAGTTTTGTTCTGGATTTCATTTCATAGTAACAAATGACAAAATGTGTATTTTTTAGTTTGCATGTTCTCATTTCCTGAACCACATAAAAATCTAATCTAGAATTGTTCAAATCATCCATTCAATGATTTATCTGTCATAAGTAATTTACCTTTCTGATATTTAAACACAGAGTGAAAGTACATAAATGCTATGATAAAAGCAGAAAAATGGAAACTTCTGTAGAATGAAGTAGACATAATCAAGTCAAATAAAGAACGTGGAAATATTTTTAATCCATTTCTTGTTGTTGCAGGCCTTAACTTCATACAAAAACATGCTCTTTTTTTATAATCATAAAAATATTGCTACAATTTATTATTGTCTACATTATTTTAATATTTAAGACAAATGCTAAAGTTTTACTTTATTTTGTATGTGTGAAAAGTTAGCAATTATTGAATACAGGAATGCTGATGGGAATTGCTTCTATATCAAGCTTTTGAATTGCTATTCTAACAAATGTTATCAACTTAACCTTTGTCTTTGTTGTTTTTAGTCTTATTGAGATTGATTAACGTCTACCTTCCAGAGTTGTGGTTTGAGACCCTACTATTTATCTTCCATCTCTTCCAACTCTTACTTGATTCCTGTATAGAAGATGTTCCAGAAGAACCATTGCCCCAGACTCTGTTACCATACCACTCAGGAAGAAAATAATGGGCCAGCAATAAAATAATTGGGGTCCTGGCCACTGATGTGTCTCCTTTCATTTGTTCACTGGACTTGGGTTCTAAAGATCTCTTAATTCCATCAGAACATTCAGCACGGCTAGCAAGAATTTTGTCTCTCAAATTTCCAAGCTCCTACACAAGCCATTCTGCATTCATTCTTCTTGCCTTTTCCTTTGTTTACTGCATTGTGGTGAAAGACAGTTGTTGTTTTTTCTAAATATTTTGATTCGCATTACAATGAATTCTAGGCCCCACGAGGTAAAGTTCCGCTATTACTATGACTACAACAAAAATTCTTTATATATTCGTATATATTGTGATCAAATAAAATATTTTAATATAAAGAATATCACATAATTTATGCCTATCTTAAAATCTGGGATTGGTTTTGGGAAAGGGATTTTAATAGCAACGATTCTTCTTCAAACACATACTAAAGAGCCTAGAAAATGTTCCCATTGTTTTAAGGTTTCTTACCCAGTAGAATGATGATGCAGAGGAGGATGGCGATCAAGGCCCCGGTGCTGAGGCCGGCAGGGAGGAGCAGGGCTTCGGCACTGCAAGATTGCATGTTGCCTTGGCTGTCACAAGCACACACTCGAATGGTCAATGTGCCTGTGCTGCTCTGAATTGGGTAATCATTGTCTGATATCACCACAGGCAAGAGATAGGTACTGATTTCATGTCTATTGAATCCATTTTTTCTGGTTAAGATTCTGGCAGTATTATCTAAAATAAATTTTAAAATATTACAATTGGTTTGAGATAGTACATTTTCCCCAATGTGATAACCAAGGTTTAACACATAAATAAAAATGTGTTTATGTAAAAAATAAAATTGATATACATTTTCCTAAAAAATAAGTACATTGCAATTAATATATAGATAAGACAAATGATTACTTTGAAAAACTTACTATGAATTGTTTATTTATTAGATTTTCACATAATTCCTCAGTACTGTTTTCAAAGTGGTAAATTTTTATAAGTGAATCATTTATGAAGATTACATAGATGATAACAATTGCTTTCTCTTTTCAAAAAACCTATTTTGCATACCAAGAGAAAAACCATACTAAATGTGTGTTTTTTAAATTTATGTGCATCTGTGCACGTGTGCTTACACACATACAGAACACACATCAATCCAATATTCATGAAGAAAATGGATTAGGTCAATTTCACCCATTGTTGCATGTTTTAAATCAATAACAAAATAGAAGAAGAAGGTTTTTTAACCTTCAAGAGGCATACATCTTGCCATTGCAACAGTACCTTTGTAACAATGCCTTTGTACTGAATCACCTCACAGGTTACTTCTCATTCTTTTCACTCCTTTATGCATATTTGGCTTTGGTGAATCTGCTGCTGATAAATCTCACTGAAGTCTGCTTAAGAGTCTTACTGAATCATTCATTTCTCTACCCTATGTGTCCTATATTATTGTTGTAAGAATTATTTCCAGCCTTTCTAAACTTATCAAGACTCAATCATTTCCTTAACATCCATAAAGAGACCTCTTTCACATATTTTAGTATTTTAAAATTGAAGAGAGTACACATTGCCAAATAAGGGTTTACTAAACATGTCATTAAATACTTGATTAAAACAAAATTGTATAACTCAGATCAATAAATTGACATGGCATATATATTGCAATGATTACATTAGGGACATTTCCTGTTAATATCATCATAGGTCATAGTGAACAAGTTCTAAAACTTACCTTCATTATCCTGTACTGTGAAGTTTGGATTGACAGCAGCTAAACTGAAAAAAAATTTCTGTCCACCTAAAGGGTCATCTTTGTCTACTGCACTTATAGTCTGTATTAGCTGCAGAAAAAGAAAAATATATCTCATCAATATATCTCTTATCCATGGGTATAATCTGCACTTTTTTAAGATCTTCATTTTGTCTAAAGTTGTTCAAAATAATTGACTTTTATTTCTTGTGAATGTATCCTTGAGTTAAACTATCTTTTTATTATTACTTTGATTTTAATAATCTCTCCCTCTCTCATCTCTCTCTCTTTTGGATCATACCCTTTACTTCAAGATGGTAAACAAAAATATATTATTTGGGGTTTTGTTAATTTAGATATAGCACTTAAAATGAGATTATTTTATACGCATTTACACATTGATCTGGAAGAATTTTTCTAATGTCAGAAAAATTTAGGAAATTATTGTGACTATGCTTTGTTTCTCCCCAAAAATAAAATGAAAAATGATCGAGGAATGTAGAGATTTTATAGGTAATGTTATATGTAACTTTTTAACAGAGTCTGAAACATTATTAGAAACTTTGGCAGTCCGAGTTCAATTAAGTTACATTTTCAATAAAATTGTATTTTAAAAATTCAACATATGTATATTACGTGGGGATTATTTGAAAAGGGTAAACTCTGATTGATTTTACGGTAAGAGAAAACATAAGAAGCTATATGGTAGCAAAGTAGACAATTTAGCTCCAGTACATAATCAGATCACTGCTTTGGACATATATGATTAATATACAAATATGAATGTAAGATGTATATGTATATGTAATATGTGGGGTTTTTTTGCATCTGTATTCCTTTTGTTCTTTAATTTATATTTATAATATGATTCGTGTATGTTTTACATATTTTAATTTTGAAGACAGCCTCAAAAGTTGTTAAATATGTACACTGATGTCTATATAGTCAAATTCATGCTTAACCAAAAGGAATACACTTTCTACTGCATTAACTCAATGTTATGTGGATGTTGGGTTAAAATATTTGTTGCTGACGTTTTGTTGGTTTAACAAGTGATTTCAAGTTAAAAATATTATGTAAAAAATTACAAGAAATAAAGAAATTATTACAACTATCTGTATTAGATTACTTTTCTTTTAAAATGTCTTAGAGCAATGAAAATGTGATGTATTTGTGGTAGTAGCCTGTTTAATTACAACCCTAACCATTTATTTCAATAGGATACAAGAAATATAATTGGACATGAAGATTTATACTTATTGCCTAGAAATAAGCAGCAAGAAAAACATCATTTAGAACTTTGAATTATTTCAAAAGTACATTTTAAAAACATAGCAACATAATTAGACTAAATTTTAATTGTAACTTAAAATTAAATATAAGCGAGAATTATAAAAAAGCAAGAATATAAATCTATTAAAATTAATAAAGTCAAAATATTGTTAACTAATACTACTTAAGATGTGTCAATTCTGTGAAAAAACATTTCTTGACTGATTTGTTATCTTAAGGATTTCGTTTTCAAATAATGATTTATAAGAATATATTGAAGAGGAAAAAATGACATAAATGGAATAACATCAAAAAAGACAGTAGACTACTACAGATCCTTAGTCATTAAGATTAATATTTTAACATTCACATACAGACACAAAAAGTGATGGAAATGTAAAAATAGGGCTAATGGCCTTTGAAAATGGAAACTCAAACGTCTCAGAATAAATATACATTTCCAACTGTATATTTTCCCTCAAAATAAACTTACAAAGTATAATTTCAATTTATTTTTATGTATCAAAATAATGCAGTTCAAAAAACAAATGGCGACATCTTTACCTATATCTATCAGAAACTTTAAAAATTAACATTAAAATCTTTAATTAAAATGTGCTATTTTAATCAAATATTATAGCACTATTGATTTAAAGATCAGTAGTTAATTTATACATTTTCATTGAATATTAAAAAAGGGGTAAGTCAAACTCATAGAGATGATACAAACAAAATCATATGTTACAGAATCTATATTACATTACAATATATTTTTATGACCTTAAGACATCGCTATTGCAGATGCAGGCACTTATATCCTTTACAAGATAAAAGGTTTTTTTTTTCTCTTTAAGACATTACTTCTAGTGTTCAACTTCTTCATATCCTGAATTTACCTCTCAATCGTCAACCGTATATTAAAAATCACAATGCTTTTATTTTGGTAAATATGCCACAAAGACTGGTAACAGATATCAGAACTTGGCAACAAGGAGGTAAAATTATTTTCCCTGGCTCTCTCTGTAAGCATCCACTGTCTTTTTTTGTCCTGGAGACAAACTCATTTGATCCATTTCCAATAAAAGAGTTTTCCACAATTAAGAAACAAACAAACAGAAACTAGTGATTTCCAGTATTTATTTTGAGCATATGAAGAAAAGTACACAGATAAGTCTTTTACATTTTATCTCCTTAGCAACAATGTAATTGATTTCTATTTTCACTGGACTATTCTAAAATAATCTTAAATCAACTTGAGGAATGTTTCAGTGATCATATTATTATGGTGTCTGGAACAATGAATGGGTTTTAAGATATTTAATGTCTGGAACAATGAATGGGTTTTAAATATTTAAAGTTAGAAAACTGGTTAAGTTTTAATATGTTTTAGCATTTTCTGTGGGAAGCCTTGGAGTTTCTGTTATTGAGAACATTATCTTTGTGCTGGTAAAATGCACCCTTTTGACTGGGTGCCGTGGCTCATGCCTGTAATCTCAGCACTTTGGGAGGCCAAGGTGGGCGGATCACAAGGTCAGGAGATCGAGACCATCCTGGCCAACATGGTGAAACCCTGTCTCTACTAAAATACAAAAAAAATCAGGCAGGCATGGTGGCATGTGCCTGTAGTACCAGCTACTTGGGAGGCTGAGTCAGGAGAATTGCTTGAACCGAATCCAGGAGGTGGAGGTTGCAGTGAGCTGAGATCATGCCACTCACCGCACCCCAGTCTGGCAACAGACAGGTTCCTTCTCAAAAAAAAAAAAAAAAAAAAGCACTGTTGTACCCTTTTCAGTTGTTAGGGAAGTAATAAGCATAGAGTTGATTTCTGTTTTCACTGGGCTGTTCTAAGATAATCTTAAATCAACTTGAGGAATGCTTCAGTGATCATATTATTATGTTGTCTGGAACAATGAATGGGTTTTAAGATATTTAAAGTTAGAAAACTGGTTAAGTTTTAATATGTTTTAGCTTTTTCTATGGAAAATATGTAATGGGATATTTTTGGTTTCTTAAAGGCTTAGTTGCCATTTGGTTTGATATCTGTTGTTAGTTGGCATGTGGTTTGATAAGTCACGTAGATACTATTGAAGGGAAATGAAAGCAGCATCTCTCCCTAGAGGGACATCTTGGGAAATCTGTGGTATTAAATTCTTTCCATGAAGATTAAAATTATTCAAATGTATTTCATTTACTTAAAATATATTTTATTGACTCCAGGAGTAGGCATGAGTGAGACAAGATAGAATGAAAAACAAAAAGAGCCAGCCCTCTATCCTCTCTTTTGCTGAGGTCCTCTGACTCTCTGGGAGATGGAAAAGGTGAAGGGTCAAGTCGCCTAGTTCAGGCGCAGGAGGGGACTACTAATATTACATTAGTTAAAAGTTGCAACATTTCCAAGGAGAAATTCTACCCTTAGATCAGAAAATAGGCAAGAGCAGGGAATGGTCATTAGTTTTATTTGTCACCTCATTTTGTCCACAACCAAATGAATGGATTATTTTCCATGTCAGTGTCACTCTTAAGTGCTACTCTTAAGGAGCAGTTAATTCAGAGGAGTGTTGGGTGGACTGAGATACACCATAAGAAACTAAAGCACACCTTGAAATCCTGACATTCTTCTGCTTCCCTAGGAGAAGGGGAGTCAGAGCTAACAAATTAATTTTAAAAAGGCTCTGAACAAGAATTTTATCAAATTACCACTTTGATTTTGCCTGCTAGGATGTCATAACCTAGAATTTCAATCCTTAATATATCACAGTTTAGTTTAACCAAGGCATTTTTCAGCCTGTGAGACCAAAGTGACATCTAACAAACTGGTGTTATTAGAATTTGCCTGTATGGGAGGCTATTGCACAGGCAGCCAATTCGACAAAAAAATATTAATCATCCTCTTCCTATCAGGTGGGTCAAGACAGGCTAATTCCCTTTTTATTGAAATCATCTTTTATTTGATTATTTTCCTTCAATATGCCAGCTGCTTTTTAAATGTCCAAAAGGTATGGAGACGTTGTGAGCCAGTTATAGTTAAAAAGAAAATCGGCAGAAGGAAAATAAACAAACATCCTTTCCATTTTGTATATTTTGAATACATTTGTAAATCAGTATGTATAATGACTTGAATGCTCTGAAAAGATATCTTTTGAAAATCAAATAGAATAACCATAGAGGGAGCAATGTATGCAGCAGTAGCAAAGTGGCTAATTTATCTCTTAGAGAAAAGACTTTAGCTTATATCATGCTGAGCCTGCCAAGCAGAGGATGATTTGGAATGGTATTTTCGGGGCGTGCACTGTTTCATTAAGTAGTAAGTGGGAAGCAGCTAAGTCATTTAAATATTCCAAATTAAACATTTCCATAACATTTTCAAGTAAAAAAAAAAAATGAATCAAATTGCAGCAATTTTGCCATATTCAGACAACAGACAGGCTATTGAATTCTTGTTAGAATCTTCAAAAGAAAGAATTTGAATTATTCCACAATATAATTTGCATAAAAATGTAACAATGACATTGATGTTTATAAAGAGCATCAAATAATGTCAAAACATAATACAATTTCATGATGGTTCCTTTTTTTAATAAAACACATTTGATTCCCAATTATTATTTACACCACGCAGCTTCCTTCTGTGAAGATAGCACTCAAACCAATTAAGAGAATTCTCTTTCAGCCATATACACTGGAGCTTTTCAATCAACAAAACGAGTCCACTGAGGAAAAGACTTACAGAATTATAAACAAAGCTGACGCAGAAAAAATGTTTTAAAGTACTAAAATCAAGTCATTAAGCACTTCATACGTTGCTGTAATGATGACATGCAATGTGTAAGTCTAAGGAGCAAATTCTGCTGCCCTGATGCAAAACCATATCTGCACACATCAGAATAGTGATTAAATATTCTGCTGCTCCCGTACATTTGTCTCTGGTTTTCCACAGCATTCATCTCTCATCTGTCTAGCAGGTATCAGTATTTACCTAATGACGCAGCAGGGGGTCTTAGGGGTTTGCTTGTCTTTGTTTCTGAAAGTTTTGAAAGTAGTTATTCCTTCTTATATTTCGACTTTTGTGGCAACAATAAAATTTTATTTCAGCATTAGAATTTTACAAAGGAAATATGAAACCTGGTATACGGCTTTTAAAAACACTTTCACCTTTAAAAACATCAGTTACGGTTTTTAAAAATGCTATCGGGACTGTATACGAATGTCTCCATCTCTGTGTATTCTTTCCTCTCAGGATTTTGAAAACAAAATATTTCGCACACAGCTAAAATCTTTCCATAGTTTTAATCCTGTAGGTGCTTACCTGCCCTGGTCTGGCATTTTCACATACAAAAGTGTCATAGAACACAGCAAACTGTGGGGCATTGTCATTAACATCCAAAATTCTCACAAAAACAGCGACGCGTGTTGTCTCTTTGGGATTGTCTAGAAAAGGGGAAGAAAAATATTGTTTAGGAAGACAAATTTTTGCATCAAAGTTAATTTATATAGGCATCTTGTGGATATGAAGTGCTCACATACAAATAAGCATTGCAATCATTCTACTAACATAATGAGCAAATGCAATAAAGAAAATTACTGCAGAGCCTAATTAAGTAGTCATGGATTCAGTTATCATTGGGCACAAGGGTACTATTATTATTTTGGAAATCATGTTAAAAGTACAAGCCAGTATAATTGAGTTCACACTATATTTGTGTCCTTATTGTCCAAATAAATAAAATAAGAACACTTATTTATTAAATCCTTGTTATACTTCATAGTACCATTTAATTTTTACCTATTTTTTTTGGATGAAGAAATAGTTTTAAATAAATTGGTAATTTATCCAAGGTCATTTGCTCGTAAGTGGTAACTGTCATAAAACCTACGTTTGTGACTAGTTTTATCACCAAAGTGTATTTCAACACTGCTCTCAAATTTCTGTTTGAAAATTTTATTATATGGGTACTTACTTTACAAACTACTTGAAAAATTTATGATGAAATATGAAGATTCAAATATTTTATTAATATAGTTATTGCTGGTACCATCTCCACAATCTAGCTCAATTTTGCATTGCAATCTATTGTCACAAATTAGCTCAGTAGTAAGACATAGCATACTAATCATACCTTTTGCAACAAATGCTGAAATCAACAGCATCAAAGTTCTCACATAAAAAGATGCATTTCTGGCTGGTCACGATAGCTCACGGCTGTAATCCCAGCATTTTGGGAGGCTGAGACAGGTGCATCACTTGAGGTCAGGAGTTCAAGACCAGCCTGGCCACCATGGTGAAACCCTATCTCTATTAAAAAAAAAATACAAAAAATAGCCACATGTTGTGACAAGAGCCTGTAATCTCAGCTACTTGGGAGGCTGAGGCAGGGGGATCACTTGAGCCCAGGAGGCAGAAGTTGCAGTGAGCTGAGATTGTGCCACTGCATTCCAGCAAGGGCAACAGAATGAGACTCCATCTCAAAAAAAAAAAAAAAAAAAAAAATGCATTTCAACTTGTTTTGATATGTAAATTAATAAAATATAAATGCCTCTTTATTTAGCTTAGCTTTGAGTAACAACCTGTATTGGTTATAATTGCATTTTTTTCTATTATAGATTTTTCTAGTCACTTATGCTAGCTGGGAATGTGTTTACATTTTAAATTCAGTTTATATTCATCAGGTTTTATGATGTCAATATCTCAGTCTTTGATACAGTTAAACTTCTGTGTAAGTTTTGGAAAGTGAAGCTGAAGAGCATATAATTCAATAAAGACTTATAATTAGCAGAAAACAAACCAAAACAATAGCAGAATAGCTAGGGACAGCGGCAATCTTATTAAATGGTCTCAACCAACATCAGCTGGGGATATCATTTAGCCTGTAAAATTGATTTTGACGTCTTAAAGGTAATCTAAATAATTTCAGATAAAAGGTAAAATATACTGTCACATACAAACAGAAGTATATTACTACTAAAAATAATTTATATCCCCTGCTTCTGTCCATATAATTGAATGTTACTCCAATATTTAAAATTAAACACTTTAAAAAATGATTATATAAGAACAGGACTACTTAGCAGGGATGTATTTACAAGTTGAGAGAGAATAAAGAAAGGCAGACAGAATTGGAAGGTGTATTATCCCTCTTTGCAGAGAAAATTTAAAATGCATCCCTTTATTTCACTATTTATTTAAGGTTTACTGCAGTCTACTGAACTCACATGGTATTCAGTTGTCAGGTTCTAACTTCATAATTTGCTAATAAATTGTTGCATATTATCCACTTGGTTAGTGTACCAGGAGGTTTAGAGTTCAGACCGTGAGTCTAACATAGGCTGCTGCTTTGATTCACAAGTTCACCACTCATTTGTTACATTACTTTGGCCAATTTACTCCACGTATTCAATGTCCTGTTTTACTCAGCATTAAATCAAAGTAGAACCTCTAACTCACAGAGTTACTTGTAAAAATCAGGCAGTTAATGCGGCGGGGCGGGGGGGCTCACGGCCTTGTATCCCCGCACTTTGGGAGGCCAAGGCAGGGCGGATCCACAAGGTCAGGAGATCGAGACCATCCGGGGCTAAACACGGTGAAACCCCGCCTCTAATAAAAACATAAAAAAATTAGCCGGGCATGGTGGGGGTCCCTGTAGTCCCAGCTACTCGGGAGGCTGAGCAGGAGAGAATGCGGTGAACCCGGGAGGCGGAACTTGCAGTGAGCCGAGATCGCGTCACTGCACTCCAGCCTGGGCGACAGAGTGAGATTCCGGTCTTCAAAAAAAAAAAAAAAAAAAAAAAAGAAAATTGGAGTTAGTGCATGAAAGTTTCTTATCAAAGTATCAGTTTAATGATCAGGACTCAATATGCATTGACTATAATCATTACTATCATCTTTATTATCATTATTATATCTTCTTCATTTTCTCATGTTACTTAAAAACTTGTACTTTTTCCACATAAAGTATCTACCTAATAAAAACACATTAATTAGCCTTCCTACCATCCATGTGAGTCTGAAGAGGTGTGCATTTGGGAAGAAGTGGAGAGAGGAGAAAAAAAAAAAAAAAAAGAGAGAGAAAAATGCTGTCTCATTATTTTCCGCTTCCTCTATGCCAGACCATTTGCTAATACCCAGAGCCATGGTGTTCTCTACAAATGGACCTTTTGCTATCTACTTGTTGCTATAGAGAAAAGTGGGAAGGTATGCTTCTTCCATATTTTCTGGAATGTGCTCTTTAACCTAATTATAAAGTGAGTAGCAAAATATTTCCTTTCAATATAAAGTCTTGACATATAAAGAACCCTTGTTGCTAACAATTCACTTTCTAATGATGCCACAGGAGCCAGGAGAGACAAAAGTTTCATATATAAAAAATTGCGTCGTCAGCCACTTCCCTAACACAATATAGAGATTCTCCAGGATCTTTACAAATAACTCAAGGCTCTTAAAATCAAAATCGAAATCCACAGGGATGAATGTGCTTTGTAAAGCATCGAGCCTGGAGCCACCTATTCAAAAAACAGTGCTTACACTAATCTTTTCTTGCTGGCAGACATTGTCGCTTATGTATAAATAAAAGTATAAAGTGTTCCAAGGAAGAATCAAACTGAATAGCAGTTGGCATATATTTACCACCTGAGTTTCTCTCAAAGTTCTTCAGGGAAACACTACTGTAGCAAGAATGGATCAGCAATAAAGGATCTTAAAATGTATGTCCTATGGTGAAGCCATGACTATGCATCCACAGGCCTTTTCATGCCTCCAGATGGAGAAAGTTTAAATAATTATCTAGAAATCACAGGCATTCGAAAAATATAACTGTTTTACCTGCTTTGGGTAAGAATTTCTATGAATAAGAACTATGGTGTAGATAATGGAGTTCTTTAGTCATAAACTTAGTTCTATTGTCCTCAGAATGTACTGCAATGATTATAGTCAAATTTTCACATGTAGTGAGAGGAGTTCTTTGGTTTCTCTAACAAATATGCCCTAAAATCCCAAGTTTATTATTAAGTCATTGATTGTGACCTTAATTTTAGATGTTTTATTCTCTGCATGACATTTTAAAATATTTTTGAAGAGGAAAAAGAGGAGTTATTCCATGATATGATGCACTACATAATTACCTGGAGTGGTACCTGCCATACGATGTGATATATTTGTATGGAATGTAGACTTAAATGATTAGAAGTCAAGCCAAAAACGTATTGGTAAGAAGTACATTTGAACACCACTCTGTCCTGTTCAGGGTGTGATGTATGACACACTGACTGTAAAGCCAAAGTTTAAAATCTAGTAGAAAAAAATCCTTACACATTGTTTCGCTCTCATCCTCATTGCATTTAATGCCCAGAATAGAATAATGGGATCCTGATTTTGTGGTTTGGCAGGTATGCATTTTTGGCAGTTGTTCTACAGATTGATTTTATTTGAGGACAAAAAAAAAAAGATTCAGTCCTTTAAAAAAAGAAGTAATTGGCTTAGCTTTTTACAGCATTGTAATTACTTCAACTAGCTTTAGAAGTTAAATCTCACAAAATATCTGAAAGAGAAAATGCAGTTCCTTGTTCACTAGGCTTGAATAAGGATACTGAATCAAGCAGAGAGCACAATCATGATTCTGACATGACCAGATTGTATCATGTTAGGTACATCTAACTATGGGCATGTGGATATAGATATAGAAATAAAAACTTTCTTTAAAAGAAAAACTCGGAAGTATTTAGTTAGCCTTAAAATCAAAAGCTAAATTCACAGGGTATTTAGCTTTTATATGTCATACATAGCAATTATATGGAGAGAACAAGGGGATATAAACAGATATTTATATCTCACAATGGAAAAAAAATGGACCATTTGAGATTAATCTGTATTTCAGGGGTAGATGTAAGCAAGACACTAAATCTATTGCTTTGTCATGAAGCTTTGAGTTCATTGCTGATGATCTGTCTAGCCTAATTCAATTGCTCTGGGACACTTGGTGATTCGGCCTCATCCAATGCTTTGCCTTCCAAAGCCTGTAGCAGTTACTTCATATAAATAACTTGAAGTTGATACGTGTTTTTGGATTCAGCTTAGTATTACAGATCTAAAATTTATGGGCTTAATTTTTAAAAATGATTCCATCCCTAATTAGTGCTTATTTTAAAAACAGTTCAAGAGTTGCTCTACACCACATACATCACAACATGGGAATTAGAAAATCTGAACAGGTTTGCATGTACATGTGCTGGTAGGGCTGGCTTCATGGGCATGTGATCCAAGCAGTTCCACAGGGCCTTACCCTTAGAAAAGACTCACACTTGTTTTAATGCTGCATCTTACATTTCTTAATTTACTTTTAACAAGCACCTGCCATTTTCATTTTACAATGGGCCCCATGAATTGTCCTAGTATGGGCAAGAACTTTCACTTTTAGAAGCAAATGTGGCTTGAATCTGTCAGGTTTTAGTGAATACAATTTTGTAAATTAGCTGTGGAATTAAGTAATGAATCTAGAAATGACATGGTTTCAAATCTCAGTTGTGCTAACTCTGACATTATAACTTTGGACCAGTTACTAAAGTTCCCAGAGCCTTAGTACCTTCTCTGTTAAAGGTTAATAAAAATATTAAGAGAAAATCTTTTTTTTTTTTAGAATGACACCTGATATATATGATTAATGTGAACTCTGATTAACAATATATACCTGGGATTCCTCATCTGTAAAAGAGAAGTTGTAATATCTACCTACATGTGTGTTGATAAGATTAAATTGCATCATATATACCCAGCATTTAGCATAGATCCTAATTATTAGTGTGCGAGTGACAAATTTAATACTTTTAATTTTTCCACAAATCATAATATCTTTAGTCTATAATTCAAGCTCATTTTTATTAGTTAATATTAAATATACATTTACATATATGGAAAGGTGGCAAAATATGCCATTTTGGCATACAGATTATTTTGAGTTAAAGGTACTCAAAACAAAACAAAACAAACCACGAAAAACAGCAGATGTAAAAAGGGTGTTCTGCTCCTCCCCTTTTCTTCCTGAAAGCAGGAGATAAAACCCCCATATAGAAGATGTCCTCTCTATACCAGAAGAAAAGTAACATTCTTATCATCAAAAATGGGAAGTGAGGCCAAGAAAATTCTATACAAACAGATTCAGATTTTATTAACATAATTTGTATCTTTATTTATGCTCTGCATATACATTTAATTACTTTTTCACAATTGCCTCTCTTTATCATCCTAGTATAAAAACATTACAGTTTTGCCACTTCATTGGGTATTTATTTCTTTATGAGAGCTCCTGTGTCACGTAAAGTTTATATTACATGCTTTTCTCCTATTAATTTGTTTTTTGTTTGTCTGTTTGTTTGGTTGGTATTTTTCTTTTTTTGAGAGGGAGTCTCGCTCTGTCACCCAGGCTGGAGTGCAGTGGCGGGATCTCTGCTCACCTCAAGCTCCGTCTCCCGGGTTCACACCATTCTCCTACCTCAGTCTCTGGAGTAGCTGGGACTACAGGCGCCCGTCACTGCGCCCGGCTAATTTTTTTTTTTTTTTTAGTATTTTTAGTAGAGACGGGGTTTCACGGTGTTAGCCAGGATGGTCTCGATCTCCTGACCTCGTGATCTGCCCGCCTCAGCCTCCCAAAGTGCTGGGATGACAGGCGTGAGCCACCGTGCCCGGCCGGTTAATCTGTTTTATGTCAATATTATTTTGAGGCTCAGCCAAAAACTCCAAGAAGGCAGAAATAAAATTTTTGCATCCTCTACCAATACGTATAGGTATCCCTCTATGTATCGATGTAGGAAATATTAAAAAAAAAAAAAAAGTATAAGTGCTGAGAAAATTACAATTCATCTGTCCAATGAGAATGAATTATTTCTAATATAAAATAAAACCTATAAAATATGTTAAAATACTTAAAATATATAAACATAAACATCTAGATATATGTTAGATACATAAAATTCATCTTACTGATTTCAGCAGCAATAACAGTAAGATTATGCCACTGAGATAGTTCTCGGTCAAGAGGTTTTGAAGTATAAAGAGATCCATTTCCTGAATGAATGTTAAAGATTCTGTCAAGGTCAGTATGGCGATCCAAGGAAAATCTGAACATGGAGGGCAAGAAAAAATACAGGGTAGCATTATTAATAGTTTGCAGGAAAAAAACAGTGAAATGCAAAGACACACATATCACTGATAATTACAGGAAAGAACACAGTGCTGACCCAGAATGTAGATTGTTTGAATGACTTCATAGTTGCACACATACATTCTCCTCAAGGCATAAATTGGTACTTTGCTCTGCATTCAAATGCTATTCTCCTGAATGCTTGTGTTATTTAAATTATTGTCTGTTGTCATATTCATTCAACTGATTTTGATATATTTGGTCACAAAACAGTTGGAATTACAGGCAGTTACATTGCCAACTGACATTATTTGGTTATTGGAAGTTCTACTGAAGAATAATACGAAGATTTATTGCAAAAGATTATTCCCAGAAGCTATGTGTTCTTAGAAAATTGAAGACAATGTTAGTTTCATCAAAGTAATAGACTATCAACTTCTTATGGTGTTTAGTAGCTTCATGGTATGACACTCATGCAGCTTCAATTTCCTAGCTATTTGTATCATTATTATACATATTGCTTTTAATGCAAAATATTTAAAAAATAGAAAAGTTTGGATGGTCAGGCACAGGGGCTCACGCCTGTAATCCCAGTACTTTGGGAGGCCCAGGTAGGTGGACCACAAGGTCAGGAGTTCAAGAGCAGCCTGACCAATATGGCAAAATTCCATCTCTAATAAAAATACAAAAATTAGCTGGGTATGGTGGCACACGCCTGTAGTCCCAGCTACTCGGGAGGCTGAAGCAGGAGAACTGCTTGAACCCAGGAGGCAGAGGTTGCACTGAGCCAAGCAAGAATGCATGCCACTGCACTCCAGCCTGAGTGACAGAGCGAGACTCCATCAAAAAAAAAAAAAAAAAAAAAAAAAAAAAAAAAGAAAAGTTTGGGATAAGAGTTTTTAATATATCTGTATCAAATAATGTCTATATGCATTTAAAAAATATCAGCAAACTATCCTGCAATTTGATAGCAAGCATGGTGTGCTGTGTGTCATTTTAAAGCCTAAAACTAGATTTAACATTCTGGTTGATGTAGTTTAAATAAATCTCATTATCTTTATCAAACTACATATCTAACATTCACATATTAAGGAAATCGTTGTGTCTCTCCACTTGGAATAATTATTTTATTACTGAGAGATCTAACATAAATTTCACCTCTTCATTGTAGCCCCTCATGATGATGTAAAGTAGAAGCTATTTATCCCCCCTTCACTCATAAAGCAGCTGTACCACCATCTTTCCATTTACCACGTTGTATTAGGAATTCATTTCATATAACACCTCAAACAGACAATAAAACATGAAAACACCAAGCATCAAACTCTACTAGGCACTCAATGAATAATATTTGATTCTCATTGTGAGTCTTCTTTTCTAATAGACTGAGAACTCCTTAAGAAACATGTTAATATCTGATATGGTGATCCACAAATATTTGTTAAATGAAAGAAAGAATGACCTAATTATCTGGCATTTTGGCAAATAATAAGGTTTCTTATTTCTGTAGAAATATGACATAAAGTTGAAATATATAAATCAATAAAAGCCTCTGCTGTCATGCATCACTGATGTTGCTAAATCCACTTCATGTGTGTTCTTTCTTAATTATTTCTTGTAGTTCAGAATGAAGAAGTAATGACAAAATTTCAAACATTATGTGACATTATCTTGCAGATACACAGAGATCATAGTTCTTTTGCAAATATGATTCAAAGTATATAGTTTGCAATTCTGTATTGGAAAGTTATGTGTGTTAACTTTCATTTTCCTTTCTAAAATAATTTCCAGAACACACATTTTAAGAAAATCCCTTTGAATACTGTATTAACATTCACAAGATATGACACAATTTATAGCATGTCAAGTATGATCCTTCCCATAATGACATATTGCATTAGTAAGGCTATTCTATTTTTTTGAATATATATATTCTAACCAAAGAATGATATCCACGAATATTCATTAAATTTTCTACATCAAATTAGTATAAAGTCAAAGTGTACAGCAACTTTAATGGCATACCCTCTGTCATTGATAACCAAAGGAGTTATTATTTTTACTATAATATGTATAATATTATACCTAAGAGGACTATAATATACATATACATAATATAATATACATAACAGGAATATATGTATAATAATATTCATAAGAGGATTATTTCCTCCTAGTCTTTAGACTTGCATCCTTATTAACCATTTTATTTTATTTTAAATATCCACAGGTATATTTTGACATATAATAATTATATGTCTATAGGAGGATTTAAATTCTATTTCATTGTGTGGAGAAATATCTTGATATTACAATTTAAGTATGTCACTTAATATACATTTAACTAACAATATTATATTTTATTTTGTAAAGTCCATTTTAAATCTGAAACACAGAAGACAGCTTGCTAAACCTTAGAATCTCTGCCAAGAAAATGCTTGGTAAGTATTTAATGAAGAAAATTAGGCCTGTGTATTGGTTATATAAAACCTTCAAAGGAAAAAACAAAAACAAAAACAAAAAAACAGAAGGAATGCAGCAATTTAGATGTTGGTAAATGAACTGGGAAAGAGGCATTTATGGGAACATCATGTGGCATGTACAGGTTTCTTCTGCCAATATGTAACCTGTGATGCTGTGTGTGAATATAAGAAAACATATTTATGTGAAATTATATAAATAAAAAGTAACATAGATATTCATAAAATACACGATTTCACTTGAAGATATGGCAGACCCGATAGAATTTTTAACTGGTTCAAGTCATGTGGCACATAAAATTAGAAGTTTCCTGAATGCGCTGTGGCATGTGTAGGAGAAAGATAAGCGTGCACTCAGAAAGTGAACAATAACCATCTGAACTCATACTTGACTGGTTCACATAGAAAATGGGCAAGCAAAATTAGCCCGCAGAGATTTAGAAAACAAATGAAATCCAAAATACAGGATGGACTAATGGATTATAGTAAGCATTCATTTTCATACTGAATAGTGTATGTCGATATACGTATTTCTTTAAAGTAATAGAACAAGTGTCATTAAAACAGTGATTTTTTTTCATTTTCAGGAGTTTATGACATTTCATATGTTTTTAAGCTGTCATAAGAAGGAAAACAAGAATCAAAAAAGACTCACCTTTCTAGAATGTTCTCATATATTTTGAAAATTGGCAGAATAAATAAATAAACATAAAACAAAACAGAATCCTCTCAACTTTGATGGCTGTGTATTAGGCGAGTTTCTAACATCATAATATAACCCACACTGCAGTATCATAATTACTTTTTTCTTTTTTCATGGAGACAGGGTATTGCTTTGTCACTGGGGAGCTGTGGTGTGAATGCAGCTCATGGCAGCCTTGACCTCCTGGGCTTAAGTGATCCTCCCATCTTAACCTCCTGAGTAGATGGGACTATAAGTGTGCACCACCATGCCCGGATAATTTTTAAATTTTTTAATAGAGACGGAGTCTCAGTATGTTCCCCAGGCTGATTTCGAATCCCTGAGCTTAAGCAATCTGTCCAACGTGGCTTCCCAAAGTGCTGAGTACAGGTGTGAGCCAGCACATCCAACCTATTTTATAACTGTTAAAACTTCTTTCATTCAACCTTACATTTTATTTAATACCTTTAAAGCACAAATAAAGTGGTTTGGTTGTACTGTAAATGCAGAGTTGACATAGTACCCTGGATCTGTACCAGGGATCAGAACAATGAACACCGTAAGGAGACATGCAGGTGTAACAAGTAAGATTTCAATGTAAAGGGCATGATAAAAATAAGAAAACCATGAAGCTTGTGCATGCCATGCCCCAAAAACATTCCGAGGCAATTTACTAGAAATGCCTGTGCTCAACATATTTGTATACAACTTATGGAAGGACTCTTGTATCTTCCATTGCAATAAATGTTTTAAATAGAATTTCATGATCTCTATATGTATCTCCGCTTCTTTTCTTTTTTTCTCATTTTAAACTATACTTTGTTTTCCTATTTATTTATTTATTTATTTATTTATTTTGAGAAAGAGTCATGCCTAGGCTGGAGTGCAAGGGCACAATCTCGGCTCATGCAACCTCTGCATCCCAGGTTCAAGTGATCTCCTGCCTCAACCTCCCAAGTAGCCAGGATTCCAGGTGTGTGCCACCATGACCGGCTCATTTTTTGTATCTTTAGTAGAGACGGGGTTTCACTATGTCGGCCAGGCTGATCTCGAACTCCTGACTTCATGATCCACCCACCTCGGCCTCCTAAAGTGCTGGGATTACAGGTGTGGGCCACCGAGCTCAGCTGTTTTCATTTTTAAAAGGCACACTTACCTAATAGGGCTGGAAATAGAATCTGGGTCCCTTGCCATTACAGTACCAATGATTGTGCCAACTTCAATATCTTCATGAACTTCAAACAGATAGGAGGACCTACTAAAAACAGGAGGTTCATCCACATCTTCTATAGAGATTTTCACTATGGTAGTATCTTTAAATGGTCCTAGGTAATAAAAACGGGGATCTACATGGGTGTTTTCTGCTTCGACTTTCAGAGTATAAAGTCTTCGGCTCTCATAGTCAAGTGGCTGTATAAAAAAATAAATCATCAAATTAGCGTGAGGGAAATTGGATGATAGGCTCCCACCAAGGTACAATATGATTTTTAAGTTTTGGTTGAGTTCTCTTACATAGTTCATTAATTATAAGTAAAAAAGACAAACACAAATAATACAATCTTCATGTTTCATTTAGGATTCGACTTTTACTTTTTATGCATTCAATTAGTAATACTTTGGAACATAGGAACTTGAGAGTTTAAACCTTGGAAAAATTGGGATGGGTATTGAAACCTATCTTATAGGTGGTAACATTACAAAAAATGGGCTGGTGGATGTTGTATGTGTTTGTGTGTGAATGTGCATGTGTGGAGGTGTTAGCTACTGCTCAATTTTTCTAAGTAAATACATGCAGTTACCTTTTTACATTTATGCCGTGATGTTTCCATTCAATGTAATGGGCTTATGATATTATAAAAGAATTATGAAATCTTGCAGACTAATATAAAACTTTCAAGTTATATCAAATATTCAAGATAAGAAAAACCTTCTGTTATAAGAAATACTTTGATAGTAATTTGGTAAATAGGTTACATGATGAAACAAAATACCCTAAATATTCATATAGTTTAACTGTCAGAAGTATAAAATCAAGTATTTTATATCTCACCTATTCTAAAATGTATGTTTTGTTACCAGATAAAAGACTTTGTTAGTTCGGATTCCCTCAACCTTCTATTTTTGTTTCAAAAAGAAACAGATTCTATTTGTATTACTGCTGCTATCTGGTCTGAAAAATGACAAGACAGCTGCTTTCCCATTTGATAGTCACTGTTCATTTAATAACAGTTGGTTTTGTATTTTGTACCTTGCAAAAGTATCTCAGGATAGTTTAATTATTAACTAATGCCTATGTAGTTACTCTATGTATGGCATTTCATTAGGACCTAAAGTTTAATGGGCCTTATTTTTTTCTCATAATGATGGCACTGTTGCTACAATAAAAAAACAGGTTACCTTTAGATTGTATCACTGAGCATATGTTAGAAGAAAACTTACATTTATACAGCAGAAGGGAAAATGTGAACAATTAAATTATGTTCCAATCCATGCTGTCTCTTTTATTAGTAACTCTAATTATTGCTTCATCAGCTGGATAGATGGCATCACACTTTTTATACCTCCAACTGGGATGATATATTGCCATTATTATGTATTAACTAAACATTTTAAAATAAAACAACGTGATTATGATGTGCTTTTACTAATGTGGCTTAGAAATATGATTACACATATATTAACCTGCCTTTTATATTTTCTAAAATTTCAGGTTTCATGTCTCAATCAACCAAAACACATGGTCAAAATTTTCAAGGAGCTCTTTGGCTTTGTGTCTTTCTTATGTATACACAGTATAAATCACATTTTTGGAACATTAGAGTGGTATTTCCCAGTGGATAATTCATGAGTGAAGAGGATATAATGCAATCCCTACTCCTGAAACACACAGATACTTATTTATATGAATGCTTTGCACCTGTTTCACAGTTATGATGCCTTCCTGTGTGTCCTTCTCAGTCACGATGTCAAACATATCAGTACCGTCACCATCAATAATTCGGTATTCTACTTCAGCATTTTTCCCAGTGTCAGCATCAGTTGCTTTGACACTTCCAATGGCTGTGCCAACTGGGGAGGATTCAAGAACTCGAAGATGAATAGTGTCTGTAAAGTATGAAGAAAAGGAGAGACAGAGAGAGAGAGAGAGAGAGAGAGAGAGAGAGAGAGAGAGAGATTTCTCAATAGAATAGCCAAAAGCAAAATGTATACGAGGCAATATAATAGATCTTAAACTCTAAATCAGATGTTGACACATGATGAATACATGTCATATGGATAACATTAAGGTTTAGGAACTTTGAGGGCTTTGATCTGTGCATATTATGAATAGTAAGAAACAAGTCCTAACAGTAAGAGAAATTCTGGTTTAAAAATGAATATGTTCATAAAGAGAGACAAGTTCCTATCTTTTGCAGGAACATGGATAGAGGTGGAGGCCATTATTCTTAACACACGAATGCAGGAACAGGAAATCAAATACCACATGTTATTACTCATAAGTGGGAGCTAAATGATGAGAACTCACAGACACAAAGAGAGGAACAACAGACACTGGGGCCTACTTGAGGCTGGATGGTGGGAGGAGGGAGAGGAACAGAAAAACAATAACTACTGGGTAGTAGGCCTATTACTCGGGCTATGAAATATATATCTGTACAACAAACCCCGATGAAACAAGTTTACCTATGTAACAATCCTGCACATGTATCCCTGAACCTAAAATAAAAGTTAAAAAATATTAGCATGTTGTCTCTTTATTTATTTATTTATTTATTTATTTTGAGATGGGTGTCTTGCTATGTTGCCCAGGCTGGTCTGAGCTCAAGCTATCCTCCCACTTTAATACCTGGGTAGCTGGGATTACAGATGCAAGCCACTGCACCAACCAAGCATGTATTTTTTCATTGCATAGGTCTGTTTTGAGTGCAGATATTTATGTGTGTTTACACAATCACAACAAACCACAGGATAGACAGTGAATGTTTCTATTTAGTTGTTTTGACTATGCTATATTTAGTTATTTACTACTCATACTTATTTCAACTGCATGGCAGAATATTACAAAACCCAATGAAATCAGCCATTATGGGTAGGAATCCTATTTCTAATTGTGACAGCAGGAACAAAGGACAGTCTATGGAAAAAACATAAAGATGCCCTTCGCAGTGTCAGAGTAAAAACACGAAATACTGACAAACTCCCCTTCATTCCAGAGCAAAATAAAAATGTATCTATGCTTTTGGTGTACTTAGATGTACTTCCAGCATGAGCAACCTCTACTGCTAATGAGATTTATGTTTCAGCACCTGCTCATAAACTACGTATTTCTGACGGATTAATCGACCTCAAGTACACTTCTGATTATAGCACCTTCTTGCTCATAAACCTTAAGTAATTCTCCTTAATATACATAATAAAGTCCAGACCTCTTAGCTTGTCACAGTCTTGCCTGAATATATCTCTCCTATATCATTTTGCATTTAGTCACTTCCATGAAAGATACGGACCAAACTGGGCTTTTCAAAGTTTTCTAGTCAAAACTTATCCTATATCACTATTTCTTCTTTCTTTCTCTCTTTTTTTCTTTTCTTTCTCTTTTTTTTTCTTAAATAGAGTCTCACTCTGTCACTCAGGATGGAGTGCTGGAGTTTTGTGACATGATCTTGGCTCACTGCACCCTTGCCTCCCAGGTTCAAGTGATTCTCGTGCCTCAGTCTCCCGAGTAGCTGGGACTATAGGCACCTGGCACCATACCACAGCAGGCTATTTTCTGTATTTTTAGTAGAGACGGGGTTTTACCATATTGGTCAGGCTGGTCTCGAACTCCTGACCTCAGGTGATCTGCTCACCTCGACCTCCCAAAGTGCTGGGATTACAGGCATGAGCCACTGTACCCTGCCCTTATATCACCATTTCGGTATTTCTCATGCTATTTCTCTCACATAAAATTCCTTCCCCTTAGCCTCATGTTATCATAATGCAGTTTACCAAATCTGAGAAAATGATACTGTTCAAAGCTGACTGTTTGTTGGGCTATACCAAGCCCAGGAGAGAGGTCTCAGAAAAAATGAGCCAGCAGACATCTTGTTCTTAGGATTCTAGTTCCTAGAACTGTGAGAAAATACATTTGTGTGGTTTAAGCCACCCATTCTGTGAGACTTTGTTGTGGCTGCCCTAACAAATGACTATGGGCATATACATACACTACACGTTGGAAGACACTTCCTAAGAGGCATCATTAAAACTCAGTTTCCATCACACTGCAGTTGGTGCCTTAGCCTGTATCCTTCTTCATTTTTCGATCTCTGGTAACACACCACTGAAAGCAATTCTCAACTCATTACTTTGCTACCATCTTATTGGTTCTCTTTGCCTTTGCTGATTCTTCTTGCAACACCTGTCCCCTGGATATTCTGATGGCTCCCCTGTTCTCTTCCTTCAGTTGTCTGCTCTACGGGGACCTCCTCAAGAGCTTTCACTAATAGCTTAACTGAAAATAGACTTATCAAAAATAGTGCTCGCAATCACTTCTCCTATCACCAGTCATCACCAGGCATTCTATTATCTACTTACTTATTTGTACGAAACAAAAGAATGTAACAGTAAACAGGCACTTAGTATTTTTATCTAAGGGTTCATTTGAGTGTAGTAGCCACCATATCATTATTGGTACATTATCTTATACAATAAAATAAATTATTTGTGTATTGTATATTGCATAGAAGCTTCCTACCTAGTCTACTAGCTCCTATGCTTGGCCAAATCAAATCAATTCGTACACACTCTTAGTCCACATTGCTGCCCTGTTGCTCCTTAAAAACATTCATGTTATTAAGCTTTACTCAGTTTCAAAACTCTTTGATTGTTCCCATTTTACTTAAAAGAAAATATCCACAGGCTGACCCTTCGTAATTTATTTAGATCCTCTGTCCTGTCAGTTTCTCTCAAATTAATACATCCAATTATCTTGGTCTCTTTTAGTTTTGTCCAACAAATTTTTCCTATCTCAACATTTTTTCCTTCCCTATGAAAGATTTTCCACACAACTCTGCCTCATAACCACATACTCTTTTCATATAGTTCACTATGATTCTACCACAGAACATCATAAAATCTAATCTGTTGATTGCAAGAACTTCCTTTAAAAACTAAATTTTATACAAGTGGCACCTCAATAAATGAATTTATTACTCCTTAGCAAAGGTGACCTTTCTAAAATACAAAAATGATTTCACTGCCTCAGTGAAAGCACTTATTGTTGATGTTAAGTGTTTAATTTCATTTGGTGTGTAAAGTCTTATAAAATTTGATTTCTGCTAAAATCTTCATTGTTACTAGTATCTATTCTCAAAGCTAGAGCATACAGGAAATGCAGCCACAATATATTTTTTCAATTAATAAGCTTTCAATAAAAAATTTTAAATAGGAGGAATATTTAACAAAACAAATACAAACATATGGATAATGAAATTGAGATATATATACAACTTGAACACACCATTTAGAGAGTACAGATTCTTTTAGAGCCGACATAAAACATTTAATGCAATCTAACCAAATACTAAGTTATTAGGCAAGTTTAAATATATTTTCATAAACCACTATCCAACAAATACTCTGACCATGCCACAATAAAGTTAAAGGTTAACACAGAAAAGATAAACTCAAATCCTTATATTCCTGAATATATTTAAAGAATAAAATTAAAAATAACAGATAATACCAAGATTGTGAATGTTTGAAAATATTACCCACACTTATGTACTAATAAAATTGAGTACTTAGCCTTAGTGGAAAATTCCTAAAAATACAAAATATACCAAAATCTACAAAAGAGAAAATCAAGTATGATTTAAAATATTCCACCCTTCCAAATCCAAAAATTTCACTTGAACAGTTTTTAAGGAACATTCATGGAAAAGAAAATTCCAGTCTTATGGAAAGTCTTCTTGAGCAAAGAAAAGTGGGGCTCCTATCGTAACTCATGAGAACAGTATTACCCTGACATAAAACCAGACAGGAGAAGACAAGTGAAGTGGGCATATAGTGTGGTCAAGATTCAGGCTGTATCACACTGTATCACATGGAAATGTATAATATTTAGTAAGTTCATTTAAAATTTTTTTAGTTTACGATCACTTTTGTCAAGTTTAGCCTATTACAGACACTATTCTAATCATTTTACTACTAACTAAATTCCTGACTTCATTCAAATCTCATCTTTGCCATTAAAGTCATTCTTCTTTTCTGGAGATCTCACTTTGCATTTGATTGTCATGTCTCCTCCCTCTTCTCCAATCTGTGAGAATTCTTTAATCTTTGTCTTTCATGACTAATATGGTTTAGCTGTGTACCCGCTCAAATCTCATCTTGAATTGTAGCTCCTGCAATTCCCACGTGTCATGGGAGGGACGTGGTGGGAGGTCATTGGATCATGGGGGCGGGTCTTTCCAGTGCTATTCTCGTGAGATTGAATAAGTCTCATGAGATCTGATGGTTTTATAAAAGGGAGTTCCCCTGAACAATCTCTTTTGCCTGCAGTCATGTAAGATGTCCCTTGCTCTTCCGCCATGACTGTGAGGCCTTCCCAGCCATGTGTAACTGTGAGTCAATTAAACCTCTTTCCTTTATAAATTACCCTGTCTCGGGTATGTCTTTATTAGCAGCATGAAAACAGACTAATACAATGACCCTGACACTTTTAAAGAATACTTGTCAAGTTACTGTGCAGAATCTCTTTCAATGAGGGCCTATCTGATATGTTCTTGTCATTAGATTAAAGTTATGCATTTTTGTAAGACTATCACAGAAGCAGTCTGTTCTTAGTGTATTGTATCATAGCAGGGAGTATTCAATATCAATATGTCTTAGGAATGATGATCTTAAGTCAACTAAGGTGTTTCTGCCAGTTTTCTCCTTTGTTAAGTTACTGGTTTTTTTTTTTCTTCATAGTTAATATATATCTTGGTGAAGATATTTTGAGTGTATGCAAATATCCCATTCCTCCTAAAAAAATATGCCCACTAAATGTAGCATCAATCAGTGATCTTGCTGGCAACAATTAATACTGCAGTTTACTAACAATGATTTTCAATTTTTTTCATTCAGTTCCACATTTATTATTTGAAATTCTTCTGTAAGGAAAAGCTACCCCTTCTCTCTCATTTATTTTTACTTATGCTTTTATTTATTTAGATCAGTATAGATTCAAAAACATTTATTTTATTTTATTTATTAGAATCTAATAATATGATTATTTATTGTTTTCTGCAAATTCTTCCAGATTCAGTTATTGGATGATTTTTTTAGGTTGGCTCTTTCAACATGTCTCCATCATTCTTTCAGCATGCTTCCTTAATTTCTGGCATCACAAAATGTTCCAAGTTCATCTTATATTTTTTGTGCCTAAGCCCTCAAATCAAACAAGTTTCTATATATACATATATATGTAAGTCTGGTTGCTTCTGCTTGAGAAAGAACCATAATTGTTTAATATAGTGCAGTATTAAGAATAAAAAAAATAACTCTTCATAATGTGTAAATATGTCAACATATGTACATGAAAGTAATTATTTGTATTTGAAATAAATCTGTGTATTGAATATAAAAAACTAAATAACAGCAAGTTATTGTTTACATGTTAATTGACTTTCATTTTAGAAATCAACGTACTTGCATCCTTGAAAAGTAATTTTGAAATCTATGATATATAATATTAGTATTTAAGACTTTTCAGCAAAAGAAAAAAATTCTCCACAAGAATAAAATGAAAGTGTTTAAATAGCAACACTATAATATTAGAACTGATTATGTATGCTTTTTGCAAATGTGTATTTGTAAAGTAGTCACACATTTTTGTTTAATCATTATTGCTGGAAAAAAAGCCTATAATTTCATTTCTTGGCATGAAACACAACTCTAGTGCCCAAACACTGGTCAGCAATACCACTGTTTTCACATTGATATAAACTAGATTTTCTTAGAGATTTGCTGTCTTCTAAGTCTGAGGAATTGAAAAGAAAGTGGGAATAGGATTTCTTCTTGAGACAAAAATTAAGTGAGATGTCAAAGATTAATGGGATCACAGAAACATACAAAGAAACCAGTCAACTTGCCTCCACCGGCCAACATTTAGAAAATTTGATAATCAATAAGATAATAATTTAGATGATTAAAATACATTAAATCATATTTGGTTTTTGACAATGCAAACTAAATAATTCAGTTCAATATCTTAGTGACAAACATTAATATTTGTGGATTATATGTAAAGATAAAGATAGTTGTATGAAGGTGGCAAAAAAACAGAAGCCCAAATTGAAGGAAAATGAGAACCTAGAGAAGTAAGCAAAAGACTAAAAGCTTTTATGGCCTGGGGATATTTGCCCTTTTCACAACATTTATCTTTATTTTTATGGCCTCTTGAAGCAAGGAGGAGATAGACCAAAGTCTAGGTTATCTACAAGGTTATTTACTGAAGCCGCTGATAGACTCCACAACAAACTAAACTTAACGAGCTTTGCGCTAGGTTTAAGGGGGATCCAGATGTAAGCCACCCTTGACAACATTTTAGATTTCACAGTGTTGGCTCAGATAACCCTGGTAATATCTATTTCTACAGACACAGATAGCGTTAACTGCTAGGGGAGAGGGTGACACTGTGGTATCCACAATGGAATGGAATGAAGGATCATAAAGCAGTCTAAAATTACCTGAGGGAGATTCTGCGTACAGACAAGAAAACCTCTAAGCTTGTCCTAAGTGACAGGACCCTTCCTGGCTTCTTCTCTACATACGTTTTTCTCTCAAGTGTGTTTTGCAAAAGTGAGGGACATTAATATCTCTGAAACGTTTATTATATAGCTCAGTGAGAGTACAGTTGTAAACATTTAGCTCATAAAGCCAAAAAGGAATGAAAATGATGGTATTAGTTACCCTAAAACATAGAACAACACATCAGATGCATATTGGAGAGAGAGATACATACACACACACAGATATACACACATGTATACACATATTCATATATATACACACACATAAATATATTTATATATACATGCATATACATAAATATATGAGTGTATATATCCATATGTGGAAATATAATGGACAGTTTTACCAAGCTAATAGATCTTTAATATTTTAATTTATTCACCTTCTTTAGCAAAAAAAAACTTTTGAAATTTTCCACTGAGGGCAAATTCAGCCCTGTCGCAATGTTGCAGTTTTTCCTGCCTTAAAGATCACAAGATCTCCCCTTTCAATGAATATCATGTTTTGTTTTTTTTCCCCTGTTCTCTTCATGTCTCAACATAATGCTTGAACTGAGAAATATTAAGTCATAGCTGTATATTAATAAAGTTATTTTATTGCCAAAGGCAGCTTTGACCTATATGGGAGAAGGATTACACTGAGGTGGTAATTTCTAAGTTTATCTTGCCAGGGACTAATTTTGCTTTTTCACATGTGCACTTTTTTTTTTTTTTTTTTTGAGACAGAGTCTTGCTTGGTCACCCAGGCTGGACTGCAGTGGTGTGACCTTGGCTCTCTGTAACATCCACTTCCCGGGTTCAAGTGATTCTCATGTGTCAGCCTCCTAAGTAGCTAGGATTATAGTCGTGCACCACCATGCCTGGCTAATTTTTGTATTTTTAGTATAGATAGGTTTTCTCCATGTTACCTAGGCTGGTCTCAAACTCCTAGCCTCAGGTGCTCCACCTGCCTCAGCTTCCCAAAATGCTGGTATTGCAGGCATGAGCTACCGTGGCCAGCTCACATGCAAAATTTAAGTTAAAAATTCTCAGTCTGCATCTTTTTGGTTTTCCCCAGCAATCCTAAATTTATAAAATAATTTTTAGCAAAAGTTTAGTTTATAAAACAACATAGATCAATATTTTAATGATCTTCAGTTAGAAAGGAATTTCTAAAACAACAAAACAAAATTTAAAAAGGTTGATAAATCAGTCTATACTTAAACTAAAACCTTCTATAAAATGAAGGCAATGTAGAGAAAGTGAAACATTTTACAAATAAAGAGCAGACAGTTTCAGCACACATATTTACAAATATAGTATGTTTAAAGATCCATAAGAAAAGGTAGAATAAACTAGTAGAGAAATTAGTCAAGGATGTTGATAGAAAACAATTGACAGAGGAGGAAACATGAAAGATCAATAAACAGAGACAACTATCCTAAAATTAAACCAAGTAAGTGCAAATTAAAGCCAACTTTACACTTATGAAATTAATAAAAGTTAAGTCTGACAATCCCAAGTGTTAAAAGTATGTGGTAGAATAAAAACTATTATGTAGAATTGATGGATGTTATATTTGACACAATGACTTTTTCGGAAATGTAGTTTCCTACAGCTGCTGTAACAAAGTGACAAAAACTAGGTGGCCAATAACTATAGAAACATACTGTCTGGCAGTTCTGGAAGATACAAGTCTGATAAGGACATACTCTTAGAGAATCTTACCTTGCTGCTTCTGCTACTGGAGTTCACTAGAAATTCTTGGTGCCCCTCAGCTTGTAGCTGTATCACTACCATTGCATAGCCATCTTCTCCCTGTGTATTCACTTGGCCTTCCCTGTCTCTGTGTCTTAATTGCCGCTTTTCGTAAATATACCATTCATATTGGATTAGGGCTTTAACTCTAGTAACCTCATTTTAAACTGATTTCCTCTATTCCCAAATAAGCTCTAATTCTGCGGTACTGGAGGTCAGTAATTCAACACATATGTAGACATAGGACAAATAGAATCATTGTTTGTAAAATGAAAAAAAAAAAAAAAAAGGAAGTAAACCAAAGTGTCAAACAGCATGAGAACAGATGAATAAATAATTGTATAATCGCATATCTCAACATAATACAAAAGTGAAAAATGCGAGCTATACTTATATGGAAAAATATGGGTGAATCTTAGGTACACATTATTGAGTGAAAAAACCAAGTTTCAGAAAATGAGGTATAGTGTGATACTAGCTTTATAAAGCTAAAACAAGAAGAACTCATTATATTTTCTAGGAATATATACATACTACTATGAATATATACACACAGTTATATACATATATGCCTCCCCAACCCTGTCCCTTTCTACATCTATCAGATAGTCTCAATGATCAGATAGTATCACATGGTAACTAACTCCGGACTATCTAAAAGGAGAGGATGATGTATGTCCATGTGAAGCATTCTTAAAATCTTTGTAATGTAATTTTTCAGGGGTGCTACTTATATTCTTTTGTATTTATTAAATACTACTAGAAAATTTAAAACAAAGAAACACACACATATACAACACAAATAACATTTTTTTTTTTTTTTTGAGATGGAATCTTGCTCTGTCACCCAGGCTTGAGTGCAGTGGCCACGATCTCAGCTCACTGCAACCACTGCCTCCCATGTTCAAGCGATTCTCCCATCTCAGTCTCCCAAATAGCTGGGATTACAGGCATGTGCCACCATGCCCGGCTAATTTTTTTTTTTTTTTTTTGTATTTTTAGTAGAAATGGAGTTTCACTGTATTGGCTAGGCTGGTCTCGAACTCCTGACCTCAGGTGATCCACCAGCCTCAGCCTCCCAAAGTGCTGGG